GAGTGTGAGAGTAAGCCCAGAGCCCACATCTTTGGGGAAGGGTCAGTGCTGAGGGAGTGGCCGCAGGGTCAGAGGGGCTGGTTTTTGGTTCACGGTTTAATCCAGTGTCTCCGTTTGGCTCTCTCGGGTGGGTGCTAGCGGCGTGACTGGCCTCTTGGTATCTGGAGACTTAATACAGATCTGTGATGGCACGTCCTCTGCTGCTCATGGGATCTTGCTGTGCCCAGCTTTGGCTTCCTTTCCCCTGACTGAGGGCGGCAACCCATGCTTCCAAATGTGCCCACCCGCCCGATTCCATTTGCCTTTAACCCGTCCTGGCACCTGTCACGACATTAACCACTGCCCCATCTCATTTCAGATCTGAAGCTGCGGTACTCGGGACTGGCAGAGCTGGAGCAGCAACAGTTCTGCCTCTGGATCAGCGATGCCCCTCCCTTTGGCGCTGCAGGCCCGTCTGGCAAAGCGAGGCATTCTCAAGCACGTGGAGCCAGGTAACTGTGCATCCTGCACCCACCCTCCCTCCCCCCTCCCCAAAACCTTCTCCAGCCCCTGCTGGATCTCCCTTTGCTTTTCGCTGTTTCGGGCTCAGCTTCCACTGAAGGATCCTTGGGCACAGCCCTCTCCCTCGGGCAGAGCTGAGGCACAGGCATTGAGAGTTACAGGCGAGGCGGGTGCAGGCTGGAATCGAAGCTACAGTTTTCTTTGGCCAAGCTTGCTCTGATGGGCGCAGCAAGCTTACGTTGGAAACAAAGAACATCAGAGCAGGAGCATGTTGTTCAATACGAATGTAGCTGAGCATCGAGCTCAATATTCTAACCCTCCCCCCATATCCTTTAATCCTTTTCGCTATGTCAAGCTCCTTCTTAGTATCTCAGTGGGTTAGCACTGTTGCCTCACAGTGCCAGGGACCCAGGTTCGATTCCACCCTCGCGCAACTGTGTCTGTCTGTGTGAAGTTTGCACGTTCTCCCCCCCATGTGTCTGCGTGGGTTTCCGCTGGCTACTCCGATTTCCTTCCACAGTCCAAAGATGTGCAGGTTGATCGGTGGGTGGTGGGGATTGGCTGTGGGAAATGCAGGGTTGCAGGGATAGTGTTGGAAGGGTCTGAGCGGGCTGCACTTCGGAGGGTCTGTGTGGACTCGTTGAGCCGAATGGCCTGCTCCCAGGCTGTAGGGATTCTATGGTCCTGCTCTGCCTCTCCCAGATCATGGACCCTGCCTTCCTTGCTGTCCCGTTTATTCAGGACTGACAGGAGTATCATGTCGTACGGCGCAGAAACAGGCCCTTTGGCCCAACCTGTCCATGCCGGCCCAGCTTCCCAAACTGAACTAGTCCCACTTGCCTGTATTTGGCCCATACCCCTTTTAAATGTTGTAATTGTACCAGCCTCCACCACTTCCTCTGGCAGCTCGTTCCATACACGCACCAGCCTCTGTGTGAGAGAGGTGCCACTCGGGTCCTTTTTAAATCTTTCCCCTCTCACCTTCATCCTATGCCCCTCTAGTTTTGGGCTGCACTACCCCTGGGGGCGGTGGGGGGAGGCCCTTGGGCTCTTCACTTTATGTATGCCCCTCATGATTTTAATAAAGCTCCTGCATTCCC